TGGTCTCTTCCAACTCTATGATTCTATGATTCTACAAATCCCAGGATTACATAGGATGGAGCCATGACAGTCAAAGCAGTGTTACACTGCATTAATTCTGCAGTGTGGCAGCAGCTTCCATTCTCATACTATGCTTTTCCCTGCATGACTGCAAGAACATAGCTAATTTGTTTTCTTGGAGATGACTCTCTTCTGGAGAAGTTCAAGTCAGACTCAAGTCATAATGCGGTTCCAGCACCTCCTCTTTTCCCTCAATTTGTGATCTCTTTCAGGGATGAATTTAATGATGATAACACAACCCTTTTTTTCCCCATAGTCCTAGTGGAATTCTAGCCCTAAGTCTCTTGTGCCATTTTTCCTCACTACCATGGAAGAGTTGGGGGTTATTCAAACATCATTTTTCTAAGTGTGGCTAGGCAAATAATCTCACTCATGCATTCTGGTTTTGTGGTTCACCCTATTTTTAAAAAATTGGAACTGCATCTATGCACATCTCTGCAAGTTCCATTGCTCACTCGTTTCAGTACTGTGAATAAATATTCAGTCAGCTACGCAGATGTATTCAAAATGCATACAAGGCACGCAGAGGTTTATCCTGGTTTATCCCAGGTTTATTCTCATTGGTTATTCACACAGCCGACAATGTGAAGCTTCCAGGAAAACTCAGGGAGGAAACCTGAGCTTGATTATCCTGGCTTAAGGGTTTTTTTGGTAGCCCTCTCCCCCAATTTATTTAGTTGCATTAAATGCATGTGAACAATAAAGATTTAAACTTCATTCTACTGGGATTATTTTTACCATCTGAATGACCCCTTTGATAATTCTTGCATTGCCAGTGCTTGCATTGGTCAAGTAGCTTCACAGTTATTTTTCCCTTCAGTTTGGGCCATTTTGACATGCTGACATGGCAGGTTGCTACATGAATGTTGTTACTTGATGTTCCTGGTTTTAGTCCAATTGTTTGAAATGTCAGCACAGTGTCTTCGCACGTAACCCTCTTTTCCCTGTATAGCCTACTTTTAGCCTAGATTCTTCATACTAACAGCATG